GAAAGTGAAAGTCAATAGCGAAACCTTGACCACGACCACGACTATAGCTACGACTACGGCCAGACCGGTGGCGGCCCAGTGCCATTTCCGACCCGAAAATGGCCCCGAACTGGGAGATCCGTTCTGAGACTCGGCACCCACGCAGCTCCCGACCAATGGGTTTCGAATGATTGGGGCTCCGACTGTTGCTGTCGGAGTGTTTTTGTTCGCTTGGTTCGTTCAACCGGCGATTCTGAATGCACACACAGATACTACACACACACACACACACACACATACATATATATGATAGCTGGAGAGCCAGAGAGAAATCCGTAGAGTGGCACACTCCGTGCGCAAGCGCAGGACCTGCGTCCCAGTCCCAGTGGCCGCTGATTGCGTGGCAGGACAGCGGCAACAAACGGACGAAAGGAAGCGAAGCGAGGCAATGGGGCGGGGAGGGGAGGGGAGGGGAGGGACGCCCAAAGTCACTTTCGCTTTTGCGGCTTTTGATGTGTGTGGAATGCCGAATGCCAAAGGGTGGCCAAGGTTCGACTCACACATATACATACATATGTACGTGCATACACACACGCATACTTGTACACTTTACGATATATCTTTCGCAAAGTCAAAATCAATCTATCAATCTGGGCAAAGCAAATCATTCAACCTCGTATATCTCTAGGGCATGCTTCTAGTTGAGATTTGTGGAGATGTAGGCTGCCAGAATGGTTGGCTGCTGTTCCTTTTTAATGAACAATTGAAACATAAGGGAGATACACGGTCCTCCTTTATAGTCGGTTATATTTTTTCTCTCAAACCTAAAGATTACAACTATTAATCCCGAGTCTAAGTAGTAATTTGGAGTACAAAATCGTCATGATTTGAAAAAAATGTATAAAAGAAAACTAAATTAGTATTCTTTATAAAGAGACTTACCAGCAGAATTTGAAATATTTTTTGATGTAGCAACATTTAATCATTAAGTGAAAATTCCGCCCGCATAAATACATGAAATTATCAGTCTTAAAAAGTCAGCTTTCAAAAAATGAAGTAAAAAACGATAATACTTATGTAAAATATACATACATACGAGAACTGAGTATAACCGCAATAATCATCCAATACTTTTCCCTTCTTGCCTTCGTTTTAATAGCCAATGCCAAATATACCCCTACATGCTCTTGGTAACTATCCCGAGTAATCATCTCGTTAACAGACACTTGCAAAATCCTCTCACAAAATTACCTTCAAAATCCTTCTAATCCAATCCAATTTCATACCAACCCTGGAACCGTCTTCCATTATCTCTTAGCTAGTAAAGTACCTCTAGTGTCCTCTCCGAATAGTTCCATCATATCTCAGATAAAGGGTTCAAAGAAACTGAAAGACAGAGCAGAGTCACCCAAATTCCATGGAGAGTGCATAAATTAGAATAACAAAATCTATAATATATACTCGTACTCGTACTCGGCTGTACACCAATAACAGCCACGACTGAACTGACTTCACTGCAGTAAGAAAAACAAATTGAAAATCCTATTGAAATATGATAAACTATTGGCACGACAACTAACACTGCTGCTGCAACAACAACAGAGGAAAAGTAAAACCCCATTCAACGTTGCGCGATGCGATTGTTGCTCATTCCGTGTGTCACCCCTCTCGCTCTCTCCTTCAGTCGTTCTCTGATTGCCACTGTGTCTATCCCTTTCCCTTTTGTGGTGGTAACTGAAAAATTTTACTGAAAAAAAAAAGAAAACCAAAAAAGGGGCGGAGCAATAATGGTTTTCCGGGCAGCGCTGCTAAGTGTACGTTGTATGGATTTTTTTTAAGGGAAATTCTATGATTTTTGATATTTTGGGGTGTTTTATTGAGGTTTTTTCCATGATATGGGTAGAGGAAGCTCTCTCTATGTATGAGTGTGTGTGGAAAAACTATTAAACGCTATAGAGGGTAAGGGTTCGTGTGTGTGTGTATCGTTGTGATTTTAGTATCATTGCTATTTGCTGTTTTGATTTTGAGGAAATCGGGAAATTGATAGTTGATATTTTTTGTTTTTCTGCTGTGTCATGCGGCAGTTGCAAACGAACGGGCCACTTGGCAGGACATAAAACCACCACACGATCGCAACAACTCGGAAAAAGAGAGCACAGTGCCGAACGCGCATGACCGTGTGACTTATTGAAAGGTAATTGGGAGTGAGCCAATGATCGGTTAGGAAACCGACAATTCACGGAACATTTTTCCCAACTGAAAGTGCAACTAAATGAAAGTTTAACGGATCGCGAAAAAAACCAAAACAACAAATTATTAATGAGTATGTTGATGATATAAGAAGTATTATTTACGTGTGCATTTTTTTGAATGTGTAGTTTAAAGTGCCATCAATGGATCGTCAAATAATGAAAGAATAATGAATACATTTTTGTTCTGCTCGAACAATTTACCTAAAGTTCTACCATCCATTCATAAGACCTATATCTCATAGGATGATCTATGGATTTATATTCAATTATTTTGTACCTGATTTTGATTTGCATTCTTTGAACACTTCCAAGACAGAATCAGTTTAAAATATTTTTAGATAGTCCCTACCTAGCCCTTAAGCCATGTTTCTACGTTTTCTTCTACCTTTTCCAATTTATAAAGTCCTAAGCGAATGGCAGGGCATACCATACCATACCACACCATGGCCAGAACCAATCTAACGTTATTGGCTCTTTCTTTTGGCAAGTGTCTCGAGACTCCAGAGCCCCTCATTCCCGAAACTACTTTGATATGTTGGTTGGCCAAATTAGCCGCCTTTCGTCTCGAGTCTTCTCAAATATATGTACGATATGTATGCCATGTATATATGTTGGTATAAGGAGCACAAGTACATGGTTCTGTTTACACTCGGCTGCCATTTTCATTTCGAACATTTTTTCCTGACCATCCTTCTCCCACTACTCCTCAACCCACCCAAAAGATGGACGGGCAGGCAGGCAGCCCAAAAAAATCAAATAAAATAACATAAAACTACCTTAGGCTTTATAAAAATCCCAACCAAAATACAAGCAACACTCAGATACACTCACACACATAGATACACTCGCACACTCACAGGGAGAGTTTCTGAAGAGAAATGCGCACATCCTGGCCGGCATTTTTGCTTAACTTCTCAAAGTACCAGAAGGCCAAAAGGATGTTCTGGTCCAGGGGGCTGGTAGGGGGGATGTTCCGAAGAAATTGTATAAAAGAAAAGTCAACAACAAAAACAACAACGACACCAGAGGCAAAAGGAGGAAAATGTAGCAAGAGAACCAATTTCCAACCATGGAAACTTAATTTATGTCTGCAGCATAGTTGAGAATATTTTTCTTGCTTTTCTGCTTTATTTTTCCCCATTCTGTGCCCACTCCCCCACTACGTTCTCCTCTCCTTCTTCGCCACCTTCTTCGGCGTGCTTCTGCTCCTCCTCTTCCTCTTCCTCCTCCTACTTCTTCTATCCCTCGCTCAGCCTGTTTTTCCTGCACCTCCAAAAGCTTTCCTCCTTTTTGGCTTCTACTCAAATAGGAAAAAGAAATTTTCGGTTTATTTCGAAAAATTTTCCCCATCGCCTCCCCCTCAAACCCACTGACACTCACCCCCCTCACCCCCTGGTTGCCTGGCAGAAAATTCACCCTCCGCCCACCACTATCCCTCCCATCCTGCTTTGGTCTTACTTCCTTTTTCGCTTTTCTTGAGAATCAAATTTATTTTACCAAGTCATGTTGAAGAAAATTTTTATAAGTTTTATGCTCGGCTCAAGTGAGGGGGTGTTCAGGCGGAGAGAGAGGACTGATGTGGGGAGGGGGTTGTATGTACGTATGTATGTGTGTGTTTGTTTGTGAGACGCAAAAAGTTTTCTGTGTTGGTGTGTGCCACACACTTCCACTTACACACACACACACACACACATAGATGGAGCGAGAGAGAGAAAGAGGAGAAAATAAGCAAAATTTGTATTCCTTAAATCGGATGACTTTGTATAAATTTTCGTGTGTGCGCCTCCCTCCTCCTCCTTCTGTCCCCCAAAAATGGGTTTATATATGTATGTGTGTGTGTGTGCGGGACTGTGTGTGTGTTTGTGTGTTAGTGGGTGGCATCTGGGGGCATAGCAAACAAAAAAAGGAACCTATATATGTGTGCTATAAGTGTGCTCTGAGGACTGCCTGGGTATTTGTGTACATAATGGAAAAATTTTTCATAGAATTTGCACAAAAATGAAAAAGTGTAGCGATAGAGGAATAGGTGGGTGGCTGGTTGGGTGGTAGAGAAAGAGAGAGAGAGCGGGTGAAGAACAGCTCGAAAGATGGTGATAGGGGGGGGGCCCAAGGAATGATGATGATGACGAAGAAAGAAGCAGCAGAAGCGGCAGAGAAATGAAATTAAGCGCATACGGAAATGAGACACAAATATTTTATATATGTGTGTGTGTGTGGGTGTTGGCAAAATATAGGAGAAAGGAGAAAGCTGAGACATGGGAGGGGAAAAAGAAAAATGAGGAGTAGAACGAAGCCAAAACCAAAATTGAATGGTCTCAAATATTCTATGTGGCTTTTTTCATCTTATTATTTTTCTTCCAATATGTAAGGCTCGTAGGATTTAAGCCCTCAAGCCATACATTATGTACATTCAGAGAAATGGTCAGTGGGAGCATGATAGATGGAAGAGATGTACATACGAGTATAGGACTGCATTGGACGTAAGGCACAAATAATTTATCCTGAAACATTCCTACTTTTGGCCTGTAAAATACCAAAATTTACCCGACCACAATAAACCCTTATAAATACATCTAATATACATATAAATGAACATATATAGAACCATTAATTATGTACATGCATACTCCACCCCACACCACCCCTTCGACCTACCCATGCCACCCGCTAGCATGGCTTCGGCTTTTGGCTGCGACTTCAATTAAAAAGTTCTTCACTCATCAATACCATTTCTCCCCTTTCTCCTCTCTCTCCCTCTCTCCTTTGCAGTAATATCATCCAAAATGGCTGCATCCATATATGCCACCCCACCGCCAGATCTGAGCAGCGAGGACACTGCTCTCTCCGATGTCTCCAACTCGTCGACACTCAACACGAACCGAGGCAGCAACAACAGCAACAATACCCATGAAGCCACAAGAGCAACAGCAACAGCAGGAACAGGAGCAGGAGCAGCAGCAGGAGGAGACGGAACCATTTCACCCACGGAGCAGTTGGTCAAGGGGCAGGAGCAGGAGCAGGAGCCGAGGCCGAAGCCAGCGGGAAGCAGCACAAATGAGGCAGACAATGCCGAAGACGATATTGAAACGGAAACGGGAGAGGGAAATGGAGATAGAGTGGAGGATGGAACGGGTGTGGAAGCAGCAGCGGAAACGGAAGAGGGGGCCACCATGGCGGCCATGGCAGCGACGGCGGCAGCGGCAGCCAATGCGGCAGCCATGCAGCTGCAGCTACTGGAAGCCCTCAGCGATGCGGCCAAGAAGCGACGCAAGCAGCACAATCCCATTCGCCTGGAGGCCCTCAACCTCAGCGGAGGCGAAGGCGAACCACCAGCAGAGATCGAGGATCGCAGGAAGGACACTGCCACTCGGGTAGACTACGAGGAGAAGCTATCGAAGATGTTCCTGCCCAAGTCGATGGAGAAACTGAAGGAGACCTTCGAGCTCCTGCAGCAGCACAAGCAAGAGGAGCCCGAGCAGAATTCAGATCCTTCCAGCGAACACATATCAGAGGACAAGCATCAGCATCAGCATCAGCGGCGGAATCCGTATCAGACCTACTGCAAGCAGTGCGGCGAGAATTTCGAGACCGAGTTCAAGCTCAGCCTCCACATGCTGCAGGACCATCGTGACGGAGAGAATCAGGATCAGGATCGGGATGGGAACGAACCCATGGACTTTCTCAGCTCAATCAAGGTGAAGCTGGAGCGGGAGGAGAGCCCCAATCAGATGCAGGAACATATGCAGATGCAGTTGGACCACGACCTGTCCAATGGCCATGGCAAGGAGCAGGAGCAGGAACAGGAGCAGGATCACTGGTTCCGTGCCATGGCCCAGCAACAGCAGCATCATTCGCATGGCTCGGCCCTGGCGCCCGCCTTTCCCTTTCCACCAGGCATGGGTCCCGCTGGATATCTGCCGCTCCTCGGCATGTCGGGATTCCCCGGCGTGGATGGATTGAATCGTCCACCGTTGCGGATCTTCAATCCGGAGGCCTACTGCGAGCTGTGCAACAAGGAGTTCTGCAACAAGTACTTCCTCAAGACGCACAAGGCCAACAAGCATGGGATCTTCGATCCCGTGGGAGAGCCCCCATCCAATACTTCCAACAACAACAACAACAACAACAACACTACAAGCAGCAACAACAACAGTAACAGTGGCAGCTCCATGAGCCACATGTTCCAGCTACAGAGGGAGGCTCAGCCACCGCCGAGTGTGGCTCAGAAAACGGATCAGTCCGCGGCCGCACCGCCGGCGGCCACGATTCACTGCGACATCTGTTCGAAGCGATTCACCAACATCTTTGCCATGCGACGCCACCGAGCCAAGCAGCACGACCAAGCCGCTGACTCGTCGCCAAACTCCCAGCCTGGCCAGTCGCGACGCGGCAGTCCCATTGAGTCGTCGCCCCAGATCCAGTCCCTGACGCACCAGCCCATCAAGCAGGAGACCCAGGCAGAGGTGGACATCCCTAAGCCCTTTCAGCTGCCCGAGGGATTCCGCGAGGACTTCTCCTTGGAGCAGGAGGAGGTGAACTTTGTGCCGCCGCCCCGAAAGCTGCCGTCGCACCTTCAGCAGCAGGCCAGGGAGTCCAACCTCAGTGCAGAGAAGCTGCGACGTCTAGGCGTCCATTTCCCGGAGTTCTACTGTGAGATGTGCCACAAGGAGTACGCCAACAGGTACTTCCTGCGCACCCACAAATGGAAGCGGCATGGGATTTTCGTGCCCCCGGAGGATTTGCCACAGATTGGCAAGGACGAGGCACAGTTAAGTGGCTGGCCGTTTATGCCCCTGAATCTGATGCTGGCCAAGGCAGCGGCCGCCGCTTCGATGGAACAGACAGAGGCAGACCAGGAGCCTGAGCAGGAGCCAGAGCCCGAGCAGGAGCAAGATCTGATCGAACAGCCCAGCAAGCGGATCAAACTGGAACCTGACCTGGACGAGGAGAAGCTAAACGGGTCCGTGATGGGGCTGCAGAACCTCCAGAAGTTGCAATCGATGCTGCAGCAGCTCAACGACATCAACGGGAAGAGACCCCTGCCATGCCACCTGTGCGGCCGGGAGCTGGAGAACCAGTACGCTCTACGAGCGCATCTTATGACGGAGCACGCCGCCCAGATGCAGCTACCGATGCAGATGCCTCTACAGATGGCACCCATGTCCATGCCACTGCCCGAACAGCATCCGCAACAGCTGCCTCTGCACGCCCTCTATCAGCAGCAGGCAGCACCACAAACGCCCCCGAACGGAGGGGCTGGAGGAGCCAGATCCTCGCCAGGCAGTGGCGAGGAATTCAAGCAACATATCGCCGAGGCACACATACCCAGGGGAGCGACCGCTCCGAGTGGGAGTCCACTGCGCGAGGGCTTCTACACGCCTGAGCGTCCGGTGGCACCACCCGCAGGCGCTGGCAGTGTCCCCGTTCCGCCACCGAATCGGCCGGCCTACACGATAACGCCAACGAGCAGCTACTGCGAGATCTGCAACAAGGAGCTGTGCAACAAGTACTTCATGAAGACCCACATGCAGCGGATGCACGGCATCGAGATCGAGAACGGTGCCCAGATCGGGGGCGTTGTGTGCAACATCTGCAACAAAGAGCTGTGCAGCAAGTACTTCCTGCGCGTCCACAAACACAACACGCACGGCATAATCGAGGAGGGCTCGCCCCTGCCGCAGCCGCGAGGACAGAACGGCGTCAAGCTAGAGGCGGCGGCCGCAGCCGCAGCGCAACAGGCTCCGCCAACACAGCCGGAGCAGGAGCTGAATCTGACTCCTCCCGCAGCACCAGGCGGAGAGACCAACTCCGGCAGTGGCCACGAGGTGTGTCCGCTGTGTGCGCGACAATTCCGCAGCTTCAAGTGGCTCCGCTCGCATCTGATGAACGAACACGGACCGGCCGGAGTGGAGCGGCTCAGGGAGCTGGAAGCCACGCAAGCAGCTCCGCCGCCGGCTCCATCCGCGCGCAGCAAGCCCAACAGTCCTACGCTCAAGATACCCAATGGGAGCAACAGCAGCAGCAATGCTCCATCTGTAACGCCATCCGTGGGCGCTGGCAATCCTCCACCCAATCTCGCCCAGGCTCTACAGAATCTTAATGCGCAGCATCTTTTCGGACAGATGCAGCAGCAGCAGGGGCCCAAGGGTATGCAGGGCATGCCACCAATGCCACCTCTGCCCGGGATGTTCGGGGAGCAAGCGCCACGCTTCAAGGAGTACCAGTGCTCCATGTGCCCCTTCACCACGCCGTACTACGCATTCCTCTTCATCCACGAACGCTCGCATGCCCTACTCAATAGTGCCGATGGGGTTGAGGCTTCTTTGGAAGCGCCACCGCCACCCCCAGCAGGACGCAGTCAAGGCAAGTCCCGCAGCAAGTCCAGTCGGGTGGCAGCAGCTCCGCCAGCTGTAGAAGAAGCTGATCTCCACGTGGAACCCACCAACCTAAGCACCTCCAAGGCCACAACCCTCCAGAGAACCCACTCTCCTCCACAACACACACCAGGAACTCCCTCACCGAAGGCCACGGGCCGCTCCCAGTCGCCGATGGCCGCATCCAAGAACCGCTCACCGAATCCAGGACGTCGCTCCTCCAAGTCCATCACACCCAACGGGATCGGAGGCGGCCATCGGTCGGCCGCCACCTCGCCCTTTGAGGTGTGCAGCGATCTGGCCAACGGCACCGGAAAGCCGGCAAGCTACGCTCAGCCGGATCGGGCCGAAGAAGCATATCAGATGCAGGCTTTCCATCTGCAGCCAGCCGATCCCGACTCGGAGATGCAGTTTGCCCCGGCTCTGGTTTATCTGCCCGTGAGGGTGCGGGCCTCGGAGTCGGCCACGTTGAGCTTCAGACTAACACCAGCCTAAGGACAAGGACGGGGAAATGGAAATGCAACCCCATTTTACAGTGTTGCCAGCGTAAGTTCAACCCAAAATACAACCCTGATACATTTATCGAGATCCTCCATGAAACGAAAAAATTAAAGCTAAAGTGACAGATAACAGAAAAGAAAATAAGAGTTAGGAACATGAACAAGAGACAAAATAGTGGAACTACAAAAGACTGAGTGCGCATATTAGTTGAGCTCATAATTAAACTTAAATATACACCCCTAACAAATACAATACAAATAATAACAATTACAATCGATCAATACCAATCGGTAGTCGCAGAAAGCTAAAAGTTCACCATGTCTAACATGGATGAAAATCTATAAACCATAACCCTATAACCGAACAAGAACAAGTCCGTTTCAGCTGGCAACACTGTGCTAGTCGTCATCATATATACACATATGTATGTATGTATATTTTGATGGATCCAAGGCATAGCATAAACCGTAACCTATAACATATATATCTCTAGTGATTAAATATCAAAGTTCCTATGCGTAATAGTAATTTATCGTAAAAGAGTTGCAGTCGAGAGAGCACAGGATGTGGAGAGAGGAAATCTAAATACGTACATACATGTATAAGGTGGGGTAGGCAGAGGATGATGGGCATTCATATATACGAGTCAAAGGATATATATCGTAGTAGCAGCATCAGCAGCTTCAAATCAAAATTACAATTATACATTTCTCATCTACTAGATATCGTGTGGTCTTAAAATAGGGCTGAACCCACACAAAAATTGTAGGCATAAACTATGGTAAAGCTTCAGCACAATGAAATTGCTCAAAATCAAAAATTTTTTAGCGAAGACTACACTCTGGGAATGTCCCGAATGTCTCCATTTCCTTCGATTCTCACTTTGGGAAAAACCCCCTCTATATCGTATAAAGGCACTATAATCTTAACCGAAACTGAATAACAAATCTTATAAACAATGTCTTCAATTTTGATGAGATTTTTCCCGACCAAAACTTGTACATAAGGATTGTTAAAAGAGAACTCCAGGGGAAATTCCGATTTTAGATGAAAATTGAACAGAGTTAGCGGGGGTATTAGAGGGATATAATGTTATAAAAGCAGAGGAAGATGATTAGAGAAAGGGATTGAAGAAAAGGAAAATTGCGCCAGAAGGTAAAAAATAAGAACACACAAAAACAACTCAGGGCAAAAGTACAATGACCATTAGTACTTTTTTATACAAACATATTTAAAGAAAGGAAAACCAATAAGAATAAATAAATATAAATATGAAAACGATAAACGAGTAAAAATAATAATAGTATATATTATGAAACGTTAAAAAAAAAAACATAACAAAAATTGCTACCTCAGACGGACTTGAAAACAATAATTTAAATAAAATGAATTTATAAAGAAAAAATCTATATAAAATCTATTAAACCGAAACCGCATCGAAAGGAAAGAAACCTTAAAGCTAAATAAGAATTTTTTTGTAGTAAATTTACCTCAGAGCAGAACAACTAAAGTTTAGATATACATATGATTTAATATATTAATATAATATTTCGCTTGGTTTAATTAAAATTTTAAGTTCAAACATTCCAAAGACCAAAACTAGTCGCCTAACCACTAAACACATTCTAGTCAAACTTATGGAGATACATACTATATACATATACATATATAAAGATCGAACCAGAAGCCAAATCGGATCGATCAACTCTTCAGTTTTGGGCAACGATTCTTGCAGATTATTTTATAGTATTTAAGGCGTTTGTTCTTCGGCAAGAAGAGTTTCCCACGAAGAGTTGATGATAGGACCGAGTCGAGCCTGGGACCCGGCGTTGATGAATTTGCTATATTTGAAATTCCTTTTTTTAAAAACGTGTGTTTTTTAAAATGCTGCGTGCCTTTTAGCAAATACTTCGCCGAGTCCCCACAAAACACAAATTAAGGGAAATCTTAAATCCAATATTTAAATCCATATAGAAAAAGTACTACATTTTTTTTTATATTCCACTTATTTCTTAGTTCTTATAATATAATTTCATATGTGTGTATATATAACGAATAAATGTCTACATTTGTATTTGTTAAACTTGAGTTTCGTTTCTTTTTTGACTTTTTAATTCAAAAATTGTGATTTCCAAATTGATCAATTACCAGATTACATTTTTTATTCTTTGATTGAAGCGTGCCAGACCCGTGGACCTACTTCAGAATCTTAAAATCACACCGTGATTACCCGAGAAGTTTCCCTTGATAGGGGAAGACCTTTCCCATTGTTTTGGCTTCCAATAGGGGACCTTCATCTCTCCGAGGGTTGTATGCTGGTCCAAGGCCTTGGCGACATCAATTATTAAATTGCCATTTGATTCAATTTGTCAAGAATGCCTGGAGCGAAATGTCTTGCGAGTAGATATGGTTAGGCACTTTAAAAAAAAAAAAAAAACTCATTCGCAGCTGTTCCCCCCTAATTCTTCCCGTTTTTGAATAAAACCTACGAGCAGCACCCTCATAAAACATTCCGAACAAAAAAAAGAAACACAATAATAAGTAAAACTGTTTCCGGTTTTGGGACACGCAGTGACCAACACACCCCTGATTAGTATGTTTGCTTTAAAAAATACATCTACATGAGAGTGTAGCCCGCTGAAAAAATGAGAGAAAAGCGCGATAACAAAAACCCAGCATGGTCCGGTGAGGGTCAAGTCCGCAGGGTCAGCAGCTGCTGTTGTAAAAAATTCCAATCCAAAATCAAAATCTATATACATTAAGCCATAGCGCTATTGATTAAAAGTAGCCACACCCTGAGGCGCATGGATATCTCCCGTTTTCGGCAGTTAATTATTTGTCACGTGTCCATGCAAATTTCGTCTCATTGATTACGTACAGACATCCGATACTTTTACGGGCGCTGCTGCAATTAAAGATTGGGCCGCGGGGGTTGCTGCCACGGACTCGGCCCTCGGACCAGGGGATGGTAGGCAAATTTCATAAATATTTTTCCGACATTTTTGCCCAAATCTTTTCTATTGAATTTTGATGGCAATTTGGGAAAATCGTCTGGCAGCAATTTTTAGGGCGCAAAGTCAGCCCCGACATATACTACCCCATGGAGTCAGGTCAGTCCCAGTTCCCCTCCCAGTCCCCGTACCGATACTATAAGGGTGTTCCCTCTATTTGCATGCTTAAAAGTGAACTGGAAAACTGCAATTTATGAAAAATCAAATGAAAAGGAAAGAATTGCATTCGCTGAGGGTGATTTAGCCGGAATCGCATCCCTCTTACAATATGAGCAAATTTTGCTATGCAAATTCTCGAATTATTTTTGGGTCCCTTCCTGGGTTCTGGCAAATGATTTTCCATTCATTTTATTTCGTTCAAATTTTCCTATAATTTTCCACCCCTCACAAAGATGAAGAAGAAGAGCGCACAAATCAAAAAAAAAAACGCAAAGAAGAAGACACTTTTTAACATTAAAGCTAAATAAATTTTACAAAAACAAAGATGAAAATTGCAATGTACCTTGAGCATTAATCAAAATTTTGTATGACCTCAGGCGCAAGTCTGATGGGGTCAGAGGGCAAAAACCATGAGAAAAATCAAAAATACAATTTTATTAGAACTAAGCAAAACGACACAAAATCAAAATAAAAACAAAAAACTCAAGAAAACTCTTGATACATATTTTAGTTGTAAATGTAAGTCAAACGAAAAAATGCATTCGAAAATTATTATTAATTCCAAATGTTGAAGTTGATGAAAGAAACGAAGGAGAAGAGAAGGAGAAGAAGAACGAGAATGGGAGAAGAAAACGATGACAAGAAGAGAGAAAAAAACAAATGCAAACCAAAGACGTGAAAGAGCGCAAAATCAAAAGCCACGAGCAAAAATCAAAACAAAATTATATTTAAACGAAATCAAAAATCAAAATTATATTTAGCAATTGGCAAAATGTATGAGATATATACACAAAAATATATCTATATACATACATATATATATTATATATATTTAACAATTTTACTTTGTTATTATGTAAAACTATGTGTGAAACCAAAACTAAAAACTTTAACAAAAATTATTTATATTACGAGTATGTGTAAAATGTGAAAGAGCAAAGAATCAAAATGGAGGAGAACGGAAAACACATTTTTCATTTCATTGTAAGCGAGCATTTATCAAAAATTGTATGTGTTTTAAATTGATTATATTAAATATATATACAAATACATATAAATATATGGACCAGTGTGTGTGTTAATGGGAAGGTATTCAGATCCTTAGCAGATCCAGTATCCCAGATTAGTGTCTACACTATCTTTTTTGGGGAGCAGAGACCTTTCAAACGCAGAGATGGAGCTGCTATCTTTTTTTTCTTAGTTAGGGTATCTCTCACCTTTCATAAATATACTTACTGCTCCTGCTGTTTGTTGATCTGCCTCTGCCTCCGCTTGTGCTTGTGAGGCTTGTTTGTGGTACGAAAACTGTGCTTACGGTTCGACGGTGCTCAAGCAATTGCACTCAGGTACAAGTGCCATCATCGTGTGCTTAAAATGTGCTTTGGTCGCCCTGTGATTCCCATTGAAAGTCTGGCTGTGGGAGAGCGACTTGTCTAAGCTGATTGTGTGGCCCTTGAGACGGGATCTCTGTGCCACCCCAAGTAAGATTCATATCTGCTATTCGAACATCGTCCACTACCTTCCTGACATGGGAAAAAACTCAACTTTTGCGAGTTTTGACATTTGCTTTCAGCTTTCCAATATATCGAAGGGAGAGGAAGGGAAGAAAAGGACAGGGCAGCACCCTCCAGCTACAAAAGGCGGCTTCCTTTGGCTTGTTGCTACCCTCCTAAGCATTAAAGGCATTGCGAAATCAAAGTATATCAATATTTGTATTACATGAGGCGCACACAAGAACAGACACACTCTCCACTCCACTCACAGGCATCTCTCACTGTAATGGCCAACAACAAGGCCTGTGGAAATGTCTTATCAATAATTTTTGTAAAGAATGCGACGAAATCAATTCCTAACAGTACCAGGGGATGGAGATACTCTATAGGTGGATATGGCGATGGAGAGGGGGAGATGCGCGTTGGGCGCGTGTTCCTGACAGCTCCATAGTTTCCGTGTCCCGCCTCACTTCCTGTTGCCAAAAAGGAGAAGAATGAAACTGTTCATATTTCCCAAGCG